AGTGTTTCACATCAGCTAGTGGCTGTTTTAGACATTCATACAAATCTGTTGTGCAGTGTTTACAGTGAACTCTGCAGAAGATGCTTCAGTTGTACTTCATAAAAAAAAGGCATCAGAGTGTTGACCCCATCTACCAAATCCTGGCAGTGTTTCACATCAGCTAGTGGCTGCAGAAGATGCTTCAGTTGTACTTCATAAAAAAAGGAAAATCAGCCTGTTAGCAAGCCTTGCAAATGCTGGTTGGTTATCAGTAAATGATCGATTTTATGCCTATTTTACATACCCATATATCCAGGGTCCTGTAAAAATTTATCAGGCCAAAAGGGATCCTGAGTGGAAAAGTTGAACAAGGTCTGTTATAGACTTTCCTCTGCTCCATGAAGAACTGAAGCCGTCTTTGGAAGTATGGAAGAAGACTTGCAAAAACAAAACAGAATCACAGAAATATATATAGATAATAATAATAATAATAATAATAATTATTATTATTATTATTATTTCTTCAAGCTGCATGCATTTGCTACATTATTTTAGTGGAGTTGTTTGGAAAATACATTCACCATTGCCTGTGCTGACTTCTCCTCTCAGTTCAGTCAGAGAAAACTGGTTTTGTTAGTTTATAAAATTAAAGTTTCAAATTAGTGTTGAAGTAATAACAATAACTTTACAGCCTGTACATTAACCAATGAAAAAAGAGCAGGCAGACTGCCTGAAACAGAGAATAAGGCAAGATTGATGACTGAATCAGTATTCAAATCATAAGGAGAGAGATATCTGACAATAACATTGCAAAGGTAGGAGGAAGCCTGGTTTATTGGTGTGGGAGGAGAGATTAGGGCATAACTGCAATGACTGCCTTCATTTCAGCCTCAGGGTTTGGTTTTTCAGAGTGATCAGAGAAGAATAATGTTTAGCACCATGCCATAACAACTGAAATTCTTGTAGATTCCTAATGTATAGTATTACATTCCTAGTGGAAAACTATAGTTTCTGGCTGAGTGTTTGTTACCATAGTATGACTTCCCTTTGATATCCATGGTTCACTTATGCATACTCCAAAAATATTCCTACCCCAGAAGTGTTGCTGGGCCTCTCTATGTCATCCTGTCATCCTACCTACTTTGATCATAGTTATCCTTCCACCTGACCAAATGCCTTTTCCTTGATTTGCTGCAATTCTACACTTATGACCTCATCCCATTTGCTGCTGGAATCACCAAGCATTGTGAGGAATCTGGTGGTGGTGCCCGTGGGGGTGGGGGCTGGGGAACCCATCACCCCATCATGTCCCATATCACTTGACTTCACCCTTACCTCATCCCATGGGGGGGAAGCATCTGCTGACCAGCTTCCCCCCATTGATATCTATGCAACATTGGAAGCCTTGTGTGTTGCCGCCACAGCTGCATACGCCAGTTCCCCATCCCTTTTTCCYTGGGGTCCCACCGGAACTAGCTGTGCATTGTATCCGTAGCTTGGGGGTCCTCCTGGACTCAACGCTGTCGCTTGATGCTCAGGTGTCAGTGGTGGCCGGGAGGGCCTTTGCACAACTCAAACTTGTGCGCCAGCTGCTACCATACCTCATGAAGTCTGACTTGGCCAGGGTGGTCCATGCCTTGGTTACATCCAAACTGGACTATTGCAATGTGCTTTACATGGGGCTGCCCTTGAAGACAGCCTGGACGTACAACGGGRGGCAGCCAGGCTCCTTACTGGAGCAAACTATAGGGAGCATACAACACCCCTATTAAAACAGCTTCATTGGCTGCCGATAAGTTGCCGAGCCAAATTCAAGGTGCAGGTCATGACCTATAAAGCCCTAAACGGTTTGGGCCCTGCCTATCTCCACAATCTCATCTCCTTCTATGAACCGGCATGAACTCTAAGATCTTCCYAGGAGGACCTCCTCTCGGTCCCACCTCCGTCACAAGGTGAGGACGAGAGAGAGGGCCTTCTCGGTGGTGGCCCCCTGCCTCTGGAACGCCCTTCCAAGGGAAATAAGACAGGCCCCACCCCTCCCCTCCTTTTGTAAGAGCTTGAAGACCTGGTGGTTTCAACAAGCCTTTGAAAATGACCAGTTCTAATTCAGTCTTACACATTGTCGAATACGGCCTTATTCTTCCTACCAATTACCCAGATCACTTCCTCTAATCGGCCCCAGAATGAACAGCCACAGACCCGTACCTAATATTATTGTTGCCTGCTATAGCATTGCACTTAATTCCCGGCCCCCCTAGAATTTTTGGGCTTGCACAAATCTTGGCCCGGCCTTTTAAATGTTTGAATTGCCTTGAATAGGCAGGATTACTTTTAATATATTATGGAGACAATTTTTATGCTTATATTGTTTTGTTAATCTTATGGTTATGCTGTTTTATTCTGTATGTTTTGTGATGTTACCTGAGAACCGCTCTGAGTCCCCTTGGGGAGATAGAGCGGTATATAAATAAAGTTTATAATGATTGTTGTTGTTGTTATTATTATTGTGGTATGGGAGCCGGCAGGCTCCATGGTAAAAGGGAAGGGGACCTGGCATATGCTGCCAAATTCAGCACCAAGTTGTTAATCTGTTTGGAGGCAAGCTGCATAGATCTCATACTGAAAGATTGAAATGAATTATCTAAAAATGTCTACACGTGTAATTTAAACGAATTAATAATTAATTTTATAAAATAACAAATCAGACTACTAGTAACAACAGCAACTTGTGTGGTGTAGTGGTTTGAATATCAGATCAGGACTCCGGGAGAGCAGGATCTGAATCCCTTTCCAGCCATTTGAAAGCTACTCGGTGGCCATGGGCAAGATACACTCTCTCAGAATTAGATGGAAAGCAATGGGAAACATTATCTGTAAAATAATTTATCTGGCAAACCCAATTGTAAGGTCATCATAAGTCAGGGTTACCTTGAGGGCTCAGAACAGTAAATGACCGTGCAATATGTTTCTACACACACAAACATGAACACATCTGAAACCAAGAATAATAGCAAACCCTATATTTTGACTATTTTTGTCCATTTTTAATTAATCTTCTAGTTAATAGTTTGAGTAAATAATAACTTAATTAGTAACATAATTCTGGAGAAACACTAGCACTGAGATTCAAACTTAACTGAGTCACTTCCATTGAAAACAACACTCAATTAACTTGTCTCCCCTTTAAAGCAAATTTGCAACTTCATTGATTTTAATCTATTAGTTCCTTTCACTGTGACCTGGAGGTTAGCTGGCTTCTGTTTATATGCTGTGGAAAATCTCCCACGGGCCTGTCAAGAGTCCCGATCCTTTGCCTTCTCCACAAGGCGGCTGAGCTTCAACTCTATTGTGCCAAGAAACCTTTCTGAACAAGGTGTAATTCAGTTTATACAGTTTATGAAAGACTGCCCCAATGTCTCAGCATCTTCCTTTTGGATACATTGTGCATCGATTTGTAGCCAAGCTTGCATAAACTATTCCAAATTAACAAAGGCTTTTGATATAATATTTTGTTTTATACACCAGTAAAACTGACAGTGGCTAAGGCCCCTTCCACACAGCTGACTAAAACCCCACATTATTTGCTTTGAACTGGAATATTTGGCAGTGTAGACACATATAATAACACAGTTCAAAGCAGATATTGTGAGATTTTCTGCCTTGATATTCTGGGTTTTATGGCTGGGTGGAAGGGCCTCACATAAATTAATAGAAAGTATTATTGAGGAGAGAAATGTATGTTGAAAAAGAAACATTGCAAAGAATTAGCATGCCTTCTACAAAGGGAATCCATAACATTTTAAGATTTGTGTAGAGCAGAGTTTCTCAAACCGTGGTCCTCCAGATGTTTTGGACTTTAGTTCCTGCAATTAAACTGGCTGGGATTTCTGGGAGCTGAAGTCCAAAACACTTGGAAGAGCATCGTTTGAAAAACACTGGTGTAGAGTACCAGAATGTGTACATAGGATCCATTTGGTGGACATCACATACCTTGACTTTCAATACATTTTGTCAACCTTCTACCCGCAAGACATGAATGAGGAGCCCGGAGCACTATAGGTGCTGATTAACTATCACACCCTTTATCCCTATGGACCATGCTAGCTGGAACTGATAGGAATTGGATTCCAACCAGGGCCTAGATTGTTAACAGATTAAAAAGGAAGGCATACATGGGAATAATAATAATAATATAATAATAATAATAATAACAACAACAACAACAACAACAACAATACCTCATTTATATTTTGCCCTTGTCACCCCGAAGGGACTCAGGGCGGATCACAGTACACATACACGGCAAACATTCAATGCCGCTTTGTATAGACAATTCACAGACAGACAGAACAGAAGGAAGAGTCTTGTTTCGACTCAGTGTCCAGCTGTGTTGGTACCTTGGAAGGTTGTGCTCAAAATCCAACCCCTGGGGGGTGCTGTTGCTCTATCCTCTATGATGAAGAGCCATCAGGACTTCCTCCTTCCTTTTGGTCGCCCAGCATTTTCTGATCTTCTTTCTTTATGGTGTCATAAAACACCTCCTCCGCTTTTAGTGGTACCTAATTTCTCTAATTAGAGCTAAAGCCGTTTTCTACTGCTTAGGTAAATAGTGAGCAGGGCTGACAGTTGGCAGATCACACCGACCCAGGGCTTCGAACCTGCAAGCTTTCGGTTGACAGATCTTATAGTTGCTGGTAATTTATCAGCTGTGCTAAACTTCCATCCCTAGAATCAAAACACCTGGAGGAGCACAGTTTAATAAACACTGGTGTAGAATATTAGAATGTGTACATAGGATCCACAAAGAACCCAAACAGGCTTCAAGGTCTGAAAAATTAAGCAGTGCCCTATTGTCCAATGGAATTTTCTTGTTTTGGTGCTGTGTCGAATGTTTACAAATGCAATAATAAACCAATTGTGTTACACTGAGTCATTGTGGAATCTGAAGTGCTTTCTTATGTCACTCTAGCCACACTGGGTACAGCTAATGTGTGTTTTTTTTTGCTTGTTTTGTTTTACAGAAAAAATTCTAGACTACAGATCAATAAAGTGAAAGTGGAAGATGGAGGGGAATACAGTTGTGAAGCAGAGAATGTTTTGGGCACGGACACCGTCAGAGGCACTCTCAGTGTGAGAACTGGTAAGATACAGCATTGAGCCAAATTGATCCATTTAGTTTTTAATTTGTTCTGTCACTAAACTCTTGGTATTCATAAAACCATTTTTAAAATGTGCTTTTGAAATACCAGTTGTAAGTGGAGAATGGTGTGTATTAGCATTGTGAGGATGGTGATTGTGTTCACTAATAGAGAATGCACATGGAAATGTGATGGCATGGAGGTTGCCACCCATTGTTTTTTGTTTTTCGTGGTCTGTTTTCAGAAACCATAATTTTCAGGTGCAGTAACATTTTCATATAAGAAGAATTGATATAAAATGACAGGGTAACAACACTGGCACATTATGAATTTGGCCAAAAAAGGCAAGCAGGTAGCAGCCCCTGAACCTGGGATGTGAATATCAGAATTGAAAACCAGTGTCATAGGGGCAGTTGGGGAAAGAGGGTTGAATGCTGGCAGAACTTACCTGCTTTCTTTAGAGTTCTGAAATCCATGCAGTCTGCACTGTGTCAAACTCACCTCACATGTTTATGCATTTTCACAGGGCTTGTGTAGAAGGGTGATCCTATTTATATTAACGCTGTGATTCCACTTTTAAAGCTTTGGCAACATCTTGTGGAATCCTGGAATTATCAGTTCAGGAACAAGCATTTAGAGCTCCTCTGGTGCTTCTGACTGAACTGTCATTGCCAGGATGCCATAGGATGAAATATCATGGTGCTAGAAATATGTGGCCTGAGAAGGCTGCAGGTTATAAGGCAAAAGACAAAAAGTGCTTTTCAGAGAGGAAGAGCAAATTATTTTTTCATGAAATATTCACAGTGACTTCCTTTGGATCTGATACGAACCTGAGGACTTTACTACATGAGGTCCTAAAAGCAAGTTCAGGCTGCAAAGCTGTCCTCGTGAGAGCTTAAGTATGCCAGGATAGTCACTCTTTCTATTGCACTGATGTTTGCAGAACATGCATTCAATTATCTGAAAGCACTACCAGGTTCCTTATGCATGAAGAGAATTGTACAACTCCCAAGATTTCAACTGATCTCATGAGTGTCTGAATGGGTTTGGTGTTGCCCAGTTAAACACATAATAATAATAATAATAATAATAATAATAATAATAATAATAATAATGCAAAGACTCTGGCACAAGCCAGTCGAGGTGGTCCCAGTGGTGAAACTGTCAGAACCCAGATGCCTTAAAGAGCCAGACTCAGGAGTATGTCCAAAAGAATAGTTTATTAAAGCAAAATAAACAGAACTCAGAGACACTTGCTTCAGTGCCTCTGGTCAAAACTCAAAAGTTGCAGCAATTTCTAGCTTGAAAAACAAACTTAGTCAATAATCCGGATTATCCTGGCATAATATCCGGATTAAACAGGAGTTCTTCCAAAACACCCCAAAATTACACAGTAAAAGGAAAACAATCCAACAAAGAGCCATGAAAAGCCGTCGTGCAAATGAAGTCCAAAGTCTAAGAAATCCAAGTCCAAAGTTGAAAGGTTCCAAAGTCCACAAGGCAGTGTCGTCGTCAAAATCAGTCCAAAGTCAAGGAGAGGGGAAATCCACACTTACGAGAATCCAAACCAGTCGATACATGAAGCGAAACAGCAACCTGCAGATCCAGGACGCAAGCCCAACAGGAAGCGGCAGCGACAAGACCCAAGGCACGAAACCAACACTTTGCCTACTGCAAAGTTCTAACAATTCAGTGCCTACTTTTATCTTTTATCTTTATCGGATGATGAGCTGCCTTCCACCCCGTCCTCATCACTCTCAGCTGTTTAGCTTCCACAACAGAGCGCCAACGCCCATCCCTCCAACTCTTCCACCTCTTGTCAAGACTTAGGTCTCCCCAGGATTCTACAGTATCACCTGATTGCCAATCCCCACCACCAGAAAACCCCACAAATGTGTCACTGGATGTTGGTTGAGTACACACATTCTGAACCTCTTGTACCTTGGTCCAATCTAGTGCTTCCTCCTCATCCCCATCACTCCCAGACCCATAATTCCCAGAAAAACCCATGAAATCCTCTTCTTCCATGGGAGCAGTAAGTATCTCCCAGATCTTCTTTCTTTGATGCTCCTCGTCTGACTCCTGCTCTCAAGTAATCCTCTTAGTTTCCCTTCCTCCTCACTCATTTCACTCTGGGAAAACCCCTCGAAGGATTCTTCATCAGTGGGTGACATAAGTATCTCCCAGATCCTCTTCCTTTGCTGTTCCTCATCTAGTTCCTGAATACCTCTTTCCCCTCCTCTGACACTCCTACTACTGCTCCTCCTCCTACTACTACTAGAGACCTCACTACCTCTGAGGATGCCTGCCATAGATGCAGGCGAAACATCAGGAGAGAATGCTTCTAGAACATGGTCATACAGCCCGAAAAACCTACAACAACCCAGTGATGCCGGCCATGAAAACCTTCGACAACACACTTGAAAACAAATTCTTACTATCTATTTGGTAGGGTTTTTTTTGGTCTAAATTTTGTACATGTTTACTGAATGTTAAATCTCATTGAACTCAGCAGGGCTCATTCCCAATTATGTGTGCACAGGACTACAGTAATGCACACACGTGGTGTGTCTCCTCAGAAGTAATACCCACTGAGTTTTGTGGGACTTGTTCTCAACTAATTGTTTATCAAACCTCAGATTGAAAAAAGTGACTTCTGCAAAAATCCACAAGGACTAGGTTTTAGATGGCTAACCAATTGAATAATTTTAAATGTGTCACTGTGGCTTAATTAATAATTTCATTCTGACAAAGGATTAGTGCTGAAATGCCTGTGAAATTCAGCCACTTTAGTGGATAAATGCATTTAATTCAGTTGCCCTTTTTTGTTGGCAAGCAACCAAATCCTGTTATTAATTCTCATCTCTGTCTGAAACAATGGCAATGGGAAATGTTCCCCCTGCAGGCCTTAGAGGTTGGATAAACAAGCAGAGGATTTGAATGTAAGTAGAAGTGTATGGGAGGCTGTTGTATTATTTTTCGGTAATAGTCAATATAATTTAGTAAATTGGGTTTTAGTAATAATTACTTATTGATTCCATGTTAAAAGAAGTTGGGTTTTTTTCTGGCATTTTCCCAAAGCCTCAGAAAAGCCCCACACTTTGGAGTCTGTGTGGACATCTGAACCTGTTCTAACTTAAATAATACTGTCTAGTCGAAGGCTTTCACAGCCGGAATCACTGGGTTGCTGTGAGTTTTCTGGGCTGTATGGCCATGTTCCAGAAGCATTTTCCCTTGACGTTTCACCCACATCTATGGCAGGCATCCTCAGAGGTTGTGAAGTCCGTTGGAAACTAGGCAAGTAGGGTTTATATATCTGTGGGATGTCCAGGGTGGGAGAAAGAAGTCATTGAAATCCACAAGCATGCGGACAATTTCAACAGAAAGGAGGAAACTATGAAAATGAACAAAATCTGGCTACTAGTATTAAAAAAACTCTAAAATCAGGACATAAAATAAAGAGGAACACTCCAAAAACAATGGAATTTCAGACAGGAAACAATCAGGGCCAGCTAACACCTCCCAACAAAAGATTCCCCCAGGCAGGAAGCAGCCAGGCTTTGAAGCTGCAAGGTCATCAAGGTGGCCAATTGCAACATTGTCAGAGGTTTTCATGGCTGGAATCACTGGGTTGTTGTACATTTTTTGGGCTATATGGCCATATTCTAGAAGCATTCTCTCCTGACATTTCGCCTGCATCAATGGCAAGCATCCTCAGAGGTTGTGAAGTCTGACAATAGTTCTTTGTCCTACCCTGAACATTTCACAGATATATAAACCTCACTTGCCTAGTTTCCAACATACCTCATAACCTCTGAGGAAGCCTGCCATAGATGTGGGTGAAATGTCAGAAGAGAATGCTTCTGGAACATGGTCATACATCCCAGAAAGCTCACAGCAACCACTGAAATAATACTGTTTCCTGCACAGAACATGCTGTTTCTGTGCAGAAAAAGTCCCAAACTATAGCATGTTCTGCACAGAAAATAGCATGTTTTGAACAGGAAATATTTATGCACTGAAAAAGCAGTGTCTTGCACACACACATCTCTTTTATTTCCTCACTGTGAATAGTCCTTGCAAATTATTCACATAAGCAAATCAGTTAAAAAGGCCAAGTTGAAAACACTCATTTTTATATCCTTCTTAAAAGCAGCTACTATGGGAACTGATTTCAATTCTCATAGGAATGTTTTCTATGGTACATGACTACAACCATATGCCACATGGATGGCTGTTCAGAGAAAGTCAATTTTTGTGATACACTTCAGTCAATGGTGTGAATCATGCATCCTGGCATGCGTAAGCGCCAAAAGGTGAGCAAGAAACTTACTCCTTCTTCAGCCAGTTAGATCTAGTACAGGGCCACCTGTGAGAAGAGAGCTCCCTGAGACCTCACAATCTCTGAGGATGCTTGCCATAGATGCAGGCGAAACGTCAGGAGAGAATGCTTCTAGAACATGGCCATATAGCCTGAAAAACCTACATCAACCCAGTGATTCCAGTCATGAAAGCCTTCAACAATACAATCTTCTTGGGAATCTTTCTGCAGTGATATTTCAAGCCAAGTTCTGCAAGGAGAAATTTTCAATCATAGCTAATTCCTTACCCACAGTTATGAATGGAGACATTGGTCATTTCCCTTGGTTGATATCTCCTCCTTACTCATCTGGTTTACTACGCTGCAAAGGCAGTCACTGTGCAGAAAAATCACCGCTTTTGCTCATGCTTAAGTAAAATGTCCCTGCTTTTGTAGCAACAACAATGATTCAAAGATTGTGAAAGGTATGTGTTCGGAGGGGGCAATTTTGCAGTTTCAATGGTGGAAAGGCATACAAATCCAATCATGTATTGTAATTGTACTGTATAACACACCATCATTCTAGAGCCCCTTCCACACAGCTGAATCAAATCCCACATTTTCTGCTTTGAACTGGAATATATAACAGTTTAGACTCAGATAACCCAGTTCAAAGCAGATATTGTGGGATTTTCTTCCTTG